GAGGATTTCTTTCTCAGCAGTGGAGTGGAGGGCTGGGATCCTCTGCCTTTGATGGCTGCAGGGTTGGTTTTTGCAGGCTGGTCCTCCCAGCTGAGCTTTAGGAATTTAAGCATTCTTAAATCAATTGAGAGACTTAAACTTAGCCCATCTTACAGTTCAGATCCTAAGCAAAGAACTAGGCAATACAGAGAGAACATGAAGAATTCTTTTATGATAGTGATGTAAACTGTAGGAAATCTGAAATTAAATGGACAATAAGAGGGAAAACAACTACAGATTAATATTTGATCCTTTACCTCAACTCTGAGTTAACTAAGAGGGAAGCAGAGGAGGAATCTCACCTTGCTTATCTCAGCTCTGGGACTGTGCATCAGTGTCATGCTGGGTCATGGCAGGTGGGCACCCCTTTGTGAACACAAGCAACACAAAGGAAGCAGATGCCTTCTTTCATTAATTTGTTGCTAGCATTAAACTCATTAAGTCTGTGCAGTGCTTCAGGTACCCAGGGTGTAAAACAGGCTGATTTCTGCAGGTCGCTCAGGCAGTAGCTGAAAAGCTTATGGAAGGAGAGAGCCAGCAGCTTGGGAAACTGCTGGGAAGACTGGAGCACTCAAGCTGCTCCTTGGATGCATTGAAGGTAACGGCCCCATCCTTTAATCTGGCTGTGCCCAGAGACACCTTTGCTCTGGAATTAGGAGTGTGGGGAAGGGAGAACTGTGGGCTCAGGCCTCAATGACTCCCATCTGCCTGATGTCAGTTGTTGAATAAATGAGCCCATGGTAGCCATGGGATATGACTGGAGTGGGCCTGGTCACTGTGTTCCTGTCCCCAGGGGTTGATATGCATTTCTCTCCTCTGCCTCACAGATCCTCTACGCTGGCTGCCATGCTCACCCAAGCCTGTGCCAGCACCTGGGAAGGAGCCAACGGCTGTGGGGTTCCCTCATGCAGCTCTTGAAGGGTGAGGTAGGACTGACCACATCCTGGGGGCTTGGTGGAGTAGGAGTGTGGGCAAGCAGGACACATTCCTCTGAGCACAGTTTGCACCACTCTAGTGGGGGGAGAAGAGTTTAGGGGAGCTTAATCTGGGGAGTGGAGTTCTCCTTCAGGGCCCAAAAACATTCCCTCATCCCCTTGTACCCTTGCTGTTCCACTGTGACTCCTGCTCTCTTGGCAGATCCCTGTGGTGGAGGTGGCCCAGGAGGCAGCCTGTGAGGCCTCTGTGTGCCTGCTAGCCCTGCTCACCCTGCACTTTCAGGCCTCCCCTCCCAGGTAAGCACCTGCTTTCACTCATGGGTAGGAGAGGACCATGCCCGGCTCTGAACAACCCTCTTTCTCTCACCCTGTCAGCACAGAGCTGGGATCCTGCTCCCACTGATCCCTCCAATCCAGACACATCAGCAGAGTTCTGGGCAGTGTGGGTGGGTGCTGGGGATGCAGTGAGGATCCAGTGTGGACAAGGAGGTGCTGTGAACCAGGGCTCTTCCTGGAAGATAGCTGCTTCCAAGCCCTGGGGGTGTTTGAATGCTGCTGCTCTGCGCTATGTGAAGCTGTGGGAACACAGTGCTTTTCTCCTGGTCCCTGTATTTCAGGCTTGAGGAGGTGGTTACCTTGGCTGTGGATCTCATCACGCAGTCTCCTGTTGTCTGCCTTGTGGTAAGCTGCCCCCCATGCCAGAGCCACCACTGAGAGCCCTGCAGAGCCCTGCATCACATTTGGGTCTCACCATTTCTCATTCAGGGTGGAATGAGGTTGAGGGATGAAGGGTCAATACTGACCAAGTAGATGGGGAAGTCACAAAGGTGCTAAGCTCTCCCTGTCCAACAGGGTGCTGCAGCATTCCTCCTGACACAGCTCAGTCAGCATGGAGTGGCCTTGGAGCTCAAGGGAGAAGAGATCCTACCAGTGGTGACAAACGTGCTGACAGCATCTGCTAAGGTATGGGATGGGGACAAAAAAGCTGGGGAGCCATGCACACCCCACTGTGGAGATGTGCAAAGATGGGCTCAGAAATGTGCAGGTGTGGTGCTGCTGCCCTCAGACCCAACACCCAGCTCCAGCTTGTCCCCTACTCTCTTACAGCTGCAGTTCCCCCTGCCAATGGGTGCTGGTCTCTATGACGGGCTCTTTTTCCTCCTGCTGAAACTCCTTGCTCAGGTACCAGTCTGCCCATCTCCCTTTGCCTGGTCCCTGCCAAAGGGTGTGGTGTCAAAAAGACCTGAATGTGGATTGGTAATGAGGATGAGGCAAGACAGGGAACTGTGGAGCTTTGGCTGAGCTGTATAACCCCATGAAAGTCACCAAATGTCCCTGAAGGGTTGATGGGAGAGTGGTAGGGGTGATCCATGGGCACACTGGAGTGAGAGAGGGCAGAGATGCCCAGGGACTGACACTGTTGGCAGGTACAGCAGGGCCTGTGGGCCATGTCCATCCGACCCTGACCTTCCCAGAACCACGGGGCTGGCAGAACCATGGACCAGAACCACATGGGATGCCATAAGGGACCATGATATCTGCCTCTCTAACTCTAGGAGGATGTGGCCATGGAGCAGGGCTTTGCTTCCTCAGAGCTGTGGAGCCTGGTCTGGCATTGTGTTGCTGTGGTGCTTCATGTGGGCAGTGACAGGGCAGCGCTGGAGGGAGAGCTCCCAGGGGCAGGCCACCCCATGGCAGAGCCAGACTGGAACCTCCTCTCCCCTCAAGGTAGGAGCTGCAGGACAGCAGGACATCTGCCCTGGACCCTGCTCCACATCCTGCCCTCAGACTTGCCCTTGTTTGTCCCTGTCCGCATCTGTTCCCTGAGACCAGAGGGCCCAGGTGGCTTTTCCTGAGGATTGCAAGTTGTCCTCTTGCCCATGCTGTGTCCAGTTGGCAGCAGCTCAGCTGAGCTGGCTGTGGAGGAACAGAAAGGGTATCTGTGCGGCAGGGAACGTTAACCTTGGCAGGTATGACCACTGAGGTGGAGAGTTTTTGGTTTTGGGCAGGGAAGCACAGAAGTAACTGTGGAGCAGCCTTGAGGCAGTATAGACAGACAGAAGAGAGGGGACTTTTCAGCCTTCCCTAACTTTGCCCCTCTGCGTGCTGTTCCTCCTGCAGGCATCCTGCTCTTCCTCAGCCTGGCGCTCTGCATCTTCACTCGTGAGTCACACCAGTGCCTGCCTCAGCTCACCCAGTCTCATGGTGTCCTCATGGTGACCCTGAAGAGACTGCTGTCCCCTGGCTTCCTGGAATGCCTGGCACAGATGTGAGTTGTGGTGAGGGCTGAAGTGGGCAGGGCTCAGCTACTGAATGGGGCTTGGACATAAGCAAGCTGAGGGCTGTGAAGTTCCTGACCTGGCACTTGCAGAGCCTCTCCTTAGTGCCTGGTGTGGGGAATGTTCTCTTCCTCTTGCCCTGTCGTTTTTCTGATCACCTCTGTATTAAACCCTCTCTCTCTCTTTAACAAATTCAGGCAAGCAGGAGAGGAGGGGGACCCCGAGGTTGTCCCAGCTGTGGTCATCCAGGCCTGCCAGCTCCTCTGTTTCCCTTTTGCCCTGGATGTGGATAGAGACACCTTAGCACTCATCTTGCAGGCTGTGAGAGATACCCAGATCCCTGCCCGGCTGCTGCAGGTATTTTCTTGGCTCTGTGTTTTTCTTCTCCCCCATACTGTGGAGACACCTCTCCACACTGCAGCCCCCAATGTGTGGCACCACTTCATACCATGGTGTCAGTTTCTGCCCACTTGGGTGCCATGCAACCCTCACAACGGGTTGGCCTGCACTGACCTGCTGGCTACCTTCAGCTATTGCTTGGCTTGGCTCACACGAGTGCAGCACACTCAGCACTGCGGTCTGTCCTTTCTCCCTAGGTCTGCTCTCGCCATCTGCCCTTCTCATTCACGGAGCTCCCCATGAGCCTCTTGTGCCACCTCGTTGTATCTGACATGCAGGTCATAGACCAAGTGGTGAGGGAAGCTGCCACCTCGGAGCACGTCATTGCCTTTTTGAAATCTGCCTTGTTCTCAGACAATCTCACACTCACAACTGACCTCCTGTCTCTCTTGACCCACGTGGCCCGGGCCTGTTCGGAGCATCTGTCGTTTCTCCAGAGGATCCTGAGGGGCTTGGATGTGGCTGACCAGCCACTGACCTATCTCCTCGGCCACCAGCAATACCTGATACGGGCCAAAACCTGCAATCTGCTGGGCAATCTTTTCCGGCACGACTTTCCCGCGGCGCTGCAGAGCCATCCTGGCTGGCTGGAGAGCCTGCTGGGGTGCCTGTCGGACGCGGAGGGCAGCGTGCGCAAGGCAGCCAGCTTTGCTGTGGGCAACGTCGCCGGCCACGAGTCCTGCCCGGCCGGGACCCTGCGCAGGGCCGTGCCTGCCCTGGCCCGACTGCTCAGCGACCCGCAGGCCCAGACGCGCTGCAACGCGGCCCTGGCCCTGAGCAACCTGGGCCAGCGCGGGGCAGAGCTCGGCGACCTGCTGATCCAGAGCAGGGTCCCCCACCTCCTGCTCCAGGTGGCCTGCCAAGACCCCCGGGAGAGCGTGCGGGAGGGAGCCCTCGTGGCGCTGCGGGTCCTCAGCGAGCACCCCGGGATCCAGCAGGTACTGCACGGGGGACTCCTGGTGCTGTGGGGACAAGGGGCTGTGCTGGTGGGTGACTCCTGTCCCTCTCCTGGCTCCGCAGGTGCTGCTGTCCCTCGGTGCCCCCGACAGGCTGACCGCACTGGCTGGCGGCAGCCCCCGGCCGCCTCATGCCCGGCACTGCGAGGAGCTCCTCCGCCGGCTCGCAGCCGTGCCCGGCCCCTCGTGTCCCCGCCGGCTGCTGCCCGGCGCCGAGGGCTGACGCCCGGGCATCCCGCCATGGCATCTGCGTTTCCCTCGTCCTCAGCCCGACATTCCGTGGAACCCGCGTTGTCCGCCCGAGAGGGACCCCGCCCAGTCGGCTTTACCCAGCCCCCCCGTGGGAAGTTGGTCCTGGGGAAAAAAAAATCTTAGGGAAGCGCCCCTTTCCCGACGGCTCTCGGTGCCCCGGGGCTCGCTCCGCCGCACCGCCAGGGGGCGGTGCAGCCCGCGGCGCGGGGGCTGCCGGGAGGTGTAGTCACGTGGGCCCGCCGGCTCCCCATGGTAACGGCGGCGGCGGGTCCGGCGGGCGGTGAGTATGGCGGGGCCCTCGGCACCGGGGCCCTCCTCCCCGGGGCATGCGCGTCTCCCTGAGTGCCACCCCCTGGGTCCTCCCACCGGGCCATACGACCTTTGGCCCCCCCGCTGCCTCCCCCGGCCCCTCCTGCCCCACCACCGTGCCCGGCCCCGAGGAGGCACCGTGCTCCCCCCCCGGCCTCCTCACGGGGCTCGCCGTGGCCCTGTTCCAGGCCCCACTCGGGAGCGCTCTGTAGCGAGAAATGCTGGGGCTGGCGGCCTGGCAGGCCGTCCTGGAGCAGTACAGAGCATCCTGGTAGCACCTTTGGCCTCTAAGACTTTCACTTGAAGAAATGAGACATAGGGCGTATTCTCCAGGCGAGTGGCAGGGAGTGAGTAGACCTGGCTCCCCAGCCAGCCACAACCCTAGGAAACCTCTCCAACGGCACTTTGAGCAGCTGTGAGGCTGGAGCTGGGATTGACCAGGCCGCATGGAGCACTGGGGCAGCCTTGCTGTTCATCCTTCCGTTGGGATCTTGGCTTGACAGCTCTCGTGTTGTAAAAAGAAGCCGATGAGTCTGAAAGGTGAAAGGCAAAACTGAGTTGAAACAAGCCTTGAGTGTTTCATGAATGCCTCCAGGGTCTGGGCTGAGAATGAGGGGCACAGGTGTGTGAAGCCCTGTAGCACTGTTCCAGCCTCCTGTCACCCTGCCCAGCTGGGCTGTGGGGAGCTCATGGGAGGCAGAGTTCAGCACCACAGCTCCACATCAAAACCCTGCCTCCGTGACTCCCTGAGATGCTGCTTCTCTTGCTCATTGTGGTGTGTTCCTCACTGAACAGGCAGGTGACACCTAGTGGCTTCTGAGCAGTTTGGGAGAATTAACAATGAATTGTTGGTCTGACTACAGTTTTATCTAATAAGTTTTCCTTGATTCTTAGAGTTTGTACCCAGCAGATAGTAGCACTCCCTTCTTGCCTTGCTGCAGTCATTAACTTTTGTGTTAGGTGAAGTTTGTTGATGACAGATTGGCCCCTCCTGCTCCTCACTCATGCCTGGGGTTCTTCTTCTCAGAACAGCAAGGATCACATTTCAAGGAGGAGCTGAGGGGACAAATGTCACTGTCCCCAGATAATGGTGCCTGCGTGATGTCATGTCACGGGCACAGGACGTACACTTTGGCTGCTGTGCTACCCTGACTGGGCGCCACTCCTTGGCATTTTCTGGGTTCGTCCCGGGCATCCAGCCTGGGAGTATTTGGCAGCTTCTTCTCAACTTGAATCTCTTCTTCTTCTCCATTCCTGAGCTCTGAGAGATTGCTGTATGGAGTGAGGTTTTTACCATGCCTCCAGAGGAATTTTTCTCACCCCTGTCATGGACTTGGAAGTGTCCTCAGCACATATTGAAAGACAAAACTGGGAACCTTTTTTTCTGCTTGTAGATATGTTTCAGTAAAAAGTATCAAGAGCAGAAGATGGACAAAGAATTTATGTGTTTTGAACTAACTGGGTAGTTCTCGTCTCATTGCTGCGTGTTGATATTTTATACTTGTTCCACTCACTCCAAATCTTCCACTTCTATTTCTCTGCTAAAGGCCAGACTGCCTAAGACCAGATGGAGCTGTGCTGACCACATGTCAGTTCCTGCACTGGTGGCCAAAGTCTTCACAGGTCTTGCTGTGTAATTCTCCTGTACTTTTTCTCCCATCATGAAGATCAATTGCTGTCCCTTCAGTTTGGATCTTTGGGAAGGGGCTTTAGCCCCTTTTCACCAAGGGGCTCCTTGGTGAAATGCTGTTAAACACCCCATGGTTTAGCTTGTTGCTTTTAACCCAGACTTGCTTCCCTACTCTTGTTTTACAGTGCGGCACAACGGCTCCCATAGTCCATACGATGAGAAAGTACAAATGGGAGCAAGGGCAGGCACTTCCCAGCTTCACTGCTGGAGAAACAGAGCTGCATGATCCACTGTCACTGTGTAGTGTATCCACTTTAGGGCCTGGGGAATTTGCCAGGGAGGAAAGTAGATATCCTTGGGGGATTCCACACCCTGCACCTTTCGCCCTTTGGTATGGCCCCCAAACTGTCTGGTCACAGCCAGGACGGCCCTCCCAGTGTGAGGACTGAGGCAACCCTTTATTTTAGATATCCCTGGTGCACTGTCTCCATGGCAAAGCTGCAACCTTGGATTGTCTTCCTAAATATGGAATTCTGCACATCATCTGGAGTTGTGCTCCAGTGCCCTGAGGGTTGTGGGAAAGTCCCTTGTGAACTCAAAGACGAGCCCTCAGTCCCCAGCCCAGCCTGTGTGTACATAGAGGGAGGCATTTGCTGCAGCAGAGGGTGAGGTCGTGGCTGAATTCCAGCTCTCCCACGGCTTGGTCCAGCGCTTTGCTGCCCCTAAGGAGGTCTGTCTCTACCTCGGGAATGGGAGCGAACACTGGAGCTGTTCTGCTTCTCTTGCAGGGCCAGCATTCTGCTTAGGTAAAGGCTCGTTTTGTGCAGCCATACACTTCTCATATCTCCTTTGTTCAGTGTGGAGTGGAGTTCAGCACTGCAGCTGTTGAATGGAAATTACTATCCCCAGCACAAAGCTGGACACAGATGTAATCCTAGAATGCAGGTGGAATTTGCTGATGCATCCCCATAGTGGGTGGCTTCTCACTGGTATCTTTAGACCTGAGTGGCCAAGCAAAATCTTGTCATCTTGATTAGGAGACAAATTGTCTGTCATCCTCTCATTTTGCACCCAAAACATGGTTCTGCAGGATGATATCGGAGCTGAGAGAGAACAACAGTGCTTAACTGTGAGGCAAAGCAGCATGACTCTCGGTCCCTGTGCCAGTGGCATTTTTATGTTGGCCGAGCTGTCTCTGAGATGTTTTGTCCTCATGGATGACTTCTTGTGGCCAGCAGAACTCTCTGCTCTTCAGCTTGAACTTGTGGGTGAACTCGGGCATTGCTTTGTGTCAGTGTGTGGCTGCACTTGAGGCAGTTTGTTTCTTGGAGCTGAGACTGTGGGGGGGCTGTTTCTGTGCTGTTGAAACACAAATTTGTATCCAGCTACCAGGTGTTGGAGCAGCTTTAGGCACTCAATCAGTTGGTTTCAGATCAATGATGTTGATCTTGTTCAAAGTTTTATAATTTTTTGGAGGGGTACAAACTCTTATTTTGAAATATATTCATTTTAAAACCTGTTTTGTGTTGTTGTTAACTTGCTTGTTCAAGCTTTAATCAGAAGCCCCAGAGCTTTGAGTGAGGAACTTGGTGTGAACTCAGATCTCATTTAGAAAAAGATGTTATCCCTTTTAATCATAAAGAACAAAAATTGCACCCTGCAATGGCATAGAAAACAATAGCAAGCACAGTTGTCTAACCTCCCCTCCTTGTGACTTTGGGCTGTGTGAGGCTGACAGCACGTTATCAGGTCAGCTAGCAGTGCATACATTTGCAAGCTCTTGTTATTTTAAGCATGTCACCAAGCTGCGTTTAAAATAACCTCCCCAGCCAAACTACTGTGACACACAGGCTCTTATGATCTTGTCCTTTCCTGTGAGCAGTGGGACTCCAGAGAGCTGCCACACTGCCATTAGGGGAGCACATGCCACAGTAGGGCTCATGCTGGAAGAAATGATTTTCACTGACATAAGGTGGAGTACACAGAGGCCAGGGCGTGTGGTGGCCCAGTGTGCCTGTGATGTGACAGTCGAACAGGCTGTGCAGTGCTCCAGCTGACGCCCTGAAGCCTCTGAGCAGGCTGTGCAGCAATAAAAGGTGCTAGCAAAATAGTTGTAAGCAAGTGCAGCTGTACGATCACTCCAACAGTGACAACTTTGGCCTCTGTATTGTGGGTCAGTAAGTCCAAGCCAAAATCCATTAATTACTTGGTTGGGTTTGAATTCCAACCTGGCCAGTTCATCCTGGGCTTTTCCCAGCTCATGTTTCTACAATAAAATTCCAAAGTGTAGTTTTACTGCTGTTGTGAGCTGCAGAATGGACTCCAGCTCCTTTGCCATAGGGTTGGATTGGCAAAACTAGAGATTGCATCAAGCTGTGACCTTCCATTCCAAAACTCTGACTTGAGTTAAATATAAAGGGGAAACTTCCCTGACTGGTAGCCAGCAGGGATTTACCCTGAGGGAGATGGCGTTTTTCCTGCCCAGAGCCACAGAGACATGGCATCTGCTGCCCTGTTGTGGCCATAGCCTGGCATGTGAAGGTGCCTCCATCTCTACCAGTTCTCCTGAATGCTCAGTAGCTGCTTTGTTGAGCTGTCCTTGCGATGAGCATGGGAGGTGGTTTGCAGGGGGACATCAGGGGTGGCTGTGTTGGCATGCAGGTGGGACAGAAGGGTGGATGCGGGGAAGGACATGGTGCGGAGGGGGAAAGACAGCATGGGCTGGTTCTGCCAGTCTGGATGCATCCTGACCTGCTCCATGTGGGTGCATCTTCCTTTCATCATTCCTGCCCCTGTCTCAGAGCTGCTGTGTCTCCATGGGGAAATGGTGGTTACTTGCTGTTGGCTGGCGCTATCCTCACCTGGAAGCTTTACTAAAGGCTCTGCTGCTTCCCTTCCTGTGATGGTTCAGACTTGACTCCCTGCCAAATGTCCAACCTCCCAGTAGCAACCCCTCTCTTCTCCCTTTTCTACTTCTCCCAGGGTAAAGGAAAAAAACTATGTAAATTGAAGAACTCAAAAACCAAGTTAGTTATATAAAAAATATATTTTATGTATATTACAGTTAAGATGCTATGTATACAGTAAACGGGAATCCAAACACTCTCCGAAGGGATAGGGAAAGGGGAAAAAGGGACAAAAGGAAACAAAAAGGGACATTGAATAGATATGTGCAATCAAACCCGAGAACTAGTAAAATAACTAGTAAAACAAATTTCACCATGTCCCTTAGAAAGCAGGATTGGCAGACAAAGCCAGCACTCTCCAAGCTTCCACGTGGCAGGCCAGTGGATGCTGCAGGCCTCAGCCTTAGATAAGCGAGACCAATGTAGGGATCCACTGTTCCCGAACTTCGGCGGAAGAGAAGAGGAGCGAAGGCCTCTCTTCTTATTTATACCTCGATTTACGTAAAAATCGTATGGAATACTGGGAACACTGCCCCTTCTTTGGTTACAAACTGGTAACCAGGGAAGGCCTAGATTAAAACCACCACACTTCCTTATGCAGCCACAGCTTCCAGCGCACTCCTGCCCTGTGTTGACCCAGCAACTCCATGGCAAAACTGCCCCATAGAGAGACAAGTTCAGAATGTTCTCCCTGTGCTGCTGTGAGGCTTGGCTCCAGGCAGGGGCATTTGAGGCCATGCCACGGCCACATTTCCACCCCGGCAGCTGCAGCTGACAGCAGTACTCTCGTATCTGTGCTGGTCACATCTGTGCCACTGTTGGCACTTACTCCAGATCGGGGTCACACAGGGTTTCTGGCATTTTCACACCTGTGTGTAAGCTGGCCGTAAGATTCACATCCCTTTTTACAGCTTCATTAGCCCCATCACTTTTTATTTTTACAGCGGGATGATCCACTGATAGCTGTAAAGCCGGGTGGAGATGAGGCACAGATGGCTTTCACCATGAGCTGGTTTTGCAAGGTCATTCACAGCCGGGTGAGAGCACAGGTGGTGGCCAAGCTGGCAGGGCATGTTGTGATGCCACAGTGACAATCCCCACTAGGCAGGGACACCGGGAACACTTTCATTCTCCTGCTTGAATTTTAATTTGCTCTTTCACACCTAGTTCACTGGTGTGCTAGAGTCCATTTGTGGTTTGAGTGCGCTTTCGACCTGGGTGCATCTGAGGGGGTAGCCTGTGGAAGCTGAGCTTTGCTCCCTTGGTTGCTGGGGGAAACTTGAGCTGGGCAGGTGGCGGCATCTGAGCCACAACTTCTTCTCTCTGTGCTAATCGCTGTGAATGTCACAACACAGCCAGGTTTGCTGCCGGGGGCAGATTGGGTAGCAGTCGAATAGTGTGGTACATCTCAGTTGTGGGATTCCCTACCCCTTGGGGCTTCGAGTCCCTCTGGGCTGCAGCTCCTATATGGATGCAGATGTCCTGTCTTCATCAGGAGTTCACAGCTTGACTTTGCAAGTGCTAACAAGCAGTGCAGCCCTGTGGGTACGGAGTGGCCCTGGCACCTTCCTTGCAGAGCTTGGCAGGGTAGCATCTCTCCTTGAGAATGTGTAGCTCCTGTGGGGTCCTGCAGGGAATGTTCCATCTTGTACAGCCTCTATCTGAGATGCTGCTGACCTGGTGTGTGCTGTAGACTGAGGCTGATTGACAGGCAAGTGTAGGTCTGTCTGACCCAGCCCTGTGGTGGTGAGAGCTGCTATCACGGTGGTACAGAGCAACCTCAGGGTCTCCAAGCTACAGTTTAACCGCTGCATCTGAGGCTTGACTTTCAGGCGAGACAGGAGTGTGTATGTGTATTGCAAGAAAACCAAGAGGATGATGATTGATGCTCTGCTTACCTTTCTTTTTATACTTTTTAAAAAAAAAAAAAAAAACAAACAAACATGCAAGCATGTGAGAGCTGGAAGGTGGAAGAGCCAGCCAGCCTGCTCGGAATACAAATTCCTATCACAGCTGTATCCAGGGGCCCTCCAGGCATGTGTTAAAGCAAGACAAATAACTGGCTCATGGTTTGTTTTCTCTTTCCTTTCTCCCCAGGCAAGAGGATGTTGCGGGTGTGGTGCAATAGTTCATTCTAGGAGGATTCAGGACACTTAAGTCTGCAACTCTGTAGTCTGCCAGTTGTTCCTTGCAGGAGATTTTTCTGTAGGACTGCAATGGGGAGGAACATGAGTGCACAGCACTGCCAGTCTCTGCTGGAAACCGAGGTGTTGATGTTAGAACAGCCCTGCATTTGCTCCTTGCTGCCTTCTCATCACCACGCTCTTTAGGATGCCCTCAGACTTCACCGAGCCTTTCTCTGGTGTTACAAAGGTGAAAAATGTTCCTTTTAAAAGCAGGGCTGAGGTTCTCACCTAGCTGTGTAACCTTGGAAACTGAAGCTTTAAGGAATGGGGAGAAAAAAAAAATCAGACATTTTGGTGCTTGTGGTGGAGTGGGGAGAGCTGACAGTGGAGCACATGGTGCAGACTGGAGACACAGACCTATAAGAGTGGGCTCCAGCAGCTGTGTGGGTCCAAGGCAGGCAGCCTCTCCTTGTAGACTGCGCTGCTGCCCCATGGCCCTGGCTGGCAGTCAGGCACCCCTGCATGTTTGCAGGGTACAAGCTTTCCTGCAGATGTCCCTCTCTGCATTTTCCTTTGCATCCTCTGATTTCATGTGAGATGCTAGCTCTTCTTTGACTTGTCTGGGGAGACTCCTGGGGAGCTCAGCAGATGGAGATGTGGTTTTCATCCTGCAGGAAAAGCAGCTCACCCTGCTCTCCTCATGGTGCACTGGGCTGAGTGCTGTGCCCTGACAGGGTAACAGTGCCTTTCATGCTGTTCTCTTGTTTCAGGCCAGCAAAGATGCTGCTGTAGATGATTGACTCGCTTGTGCCTCACGTGCTATGGCTCTACATGGCCACTTCAGGACCAGACCATGCTAATCTGGGCCCCAAACAGCAGAGGAGTGTTGGGCCCGAGTCAGGCACCCTTCTGGCTGGGAGACCTCAGCCGTGCTGGGCCTGGCGCTTCGCTCAGCAGCAGGCAAAACCCGCCTGGAATTTAGAGAAGAGGTATGTGAGTGCTTTCCAGGATCGAATCCTGCTGCCCTCAGGGATCCCTCTGCAGCAATCCTGCTTCTTGTGCTCACCGTCACTATGCCACGCACACCCCACTGAAGACACCCTCCAAAGCCCTCCTGGCACTGCCTCTGCCACGGGAAGGGCGATGTCTTCCTTGCTGATGGAAGCCCGCCTGCTTCCTGTGCTGGCAGAGGAGCAGTCTGGGACTGGGGTCAAAGGCTCTGCCCTCGGCTCAGGTCAGCAGGCTGCCAGCTCCTATAGACCAGTGCTCAATAACAACTCCTTCCTACGGCCAAGCAGTGCTAAAGTGCCTTTTCTGCAATCACTGGAGATGAGAAAGATGGAAAAACCCCACAATTCTCTTGCTGCCTCATGGCCCCACTCTGGGGGCAATGGAGATAGCTTCTCTAGCAGCCTGATCAATGGAGCAGTGACGAACAGCGACCTTGTGTTGAAGAAAACCGTGGTTCCCTCCCTGCCCCCTGTGCCAAGCAGTGCTGTCCTCAGGAAGGGCCAGTGCTCGTGGCAGGACACTCAGAAGGGAGTTCACAGTTCAAAAGAGAAGGAACCGGAGAAGAATCTCCTGAAGGCTGTGCAGCAGCTAGCCAGTCAGGCTGCCACACGCAACAGTTTTGGGTGCCAAGTCAAAAGTTCTGGCCTTACAAAGGTGGGCAGCCTCTCCAACTGGGACAGCAAGAGGAGGCAGCACGTCGGAGCGCAGCTCACTCTGAAAGAAACCATTGCTCCTCTGAACTTGGAGCTGGGGAGCCATCGCCTTAACAGTAACTTGAGCCTTAGGGGCACCAATGGTGCCATTGCCTACCCTAAGCGTGTCAGCGTCTGCCCCTTGGCCTCATGCGCTGGCGCTCCCGATGGCAGCTCCAACTGCCAGCTCGTGGGCACACGCAGCCCGCGCACGGGGAATCAGGTGGTGAGAGCTGAGCCTCTGCACCTCGCTGCTGTCTCTGAAGTGACAAAACAGATGTCCACCATTCAACTGGAAAAAGAGAAGAAATGGGTCCAGGCTGTGGTCCCAGGAAAGCTTGAGTAAGTAGAGGCAGGAGGACGAGGGAGGCTGGGCTGGGCTGGGCTGGCCATTGTGTCTGTGTGTTTTGGGAGAGGATGCACTGTGGGCAGTACAGGGGTGGCTGTAAGGATTACCATGGACTGTGTCCCTGAGGAAAACCCAACTGTGGCATCCTGGTGTGGGGGTAGCCTTCCTGCCACCCCCAGCTTGACACAAGCCCTTCCACCTTCTCCTTCAACCACAGCATGGAACTGATGTATGGCATTTCTAGCTTGTTTTTCACAATCATGGGGCCCTGCCTGCAGTGGCAGGCTCTGCAAGTATGTTGAGTGAAGCCTACTGTCAAGCCAGACTTTCCTAGTCAGAGACATGCATTCATAAAGGAACACAGAGCTGGTGCAAGGACATGGAGCTCCTGCTCTCCAACTGGGAGAAGGTGTCCTTGTGCCTCTTGCTTTCTGGCTGCTCTGGAGCATATTTCTTCTCAGAGTGCTCTGGGGCCTTTCCATCTTGCTAGTTTGGGATGAGTGCTTGCACTGGAGAGCGCAGTGCTCTCACTGTCCTGCCTACATTATCTCATGCTGCCTCATGAGCTTCTAGGTTTTTTGGCCCCAGAAACATGTGCCATTCCTTCTCATGTGATGTCCTTTGTCCCAGTGCCACTGCTGAGCAGTCGCTGCTGGAGCCAAGCCATCCCCAGGATGAAGCAGAGGAAGAACTTCCTGATGGCCTGGATGAGAGCTGCAGTCAGGAGGAGGAGGACAGTGAGTGCTGGTTCTGCTGGGAAGGCCTGCTCCATGCCTCAAAGTAGGGAGGGTGGGAACTGTCTGGGAGCTGAGGGTGAGCACAGCTGTCCTCCTGTCTTAACATTCATGCTGTCATTTCAGGATGTGCTGAGCCCAAAAGTGATGTAGCAGCAAGGAGGGCAAGGGTTCCTGCATGGGTTCCTCTGGGGAGCAGCCTAGGGCTCACCACTCTCTTGCTGCAGAACTTACTCATCTTCTTTCTGTGTAGGGCTGTCAGCTCTGCCCCTTTCCCTGCTTTTTACAACACCAATTAGTGGGCAAAACCCAGAATCCAAGGATTTGAAGCAGCTGGAAGGCTTTGTCCCCTGGAGCATTTATTTTCTCTCTTCCCTTCCTAACTCTGTGTGTGTTCTCATGGAGACAAAACTTGAATTTGTTCCTTCCTTCAGGTGACTCGGACGCTTCCTCTGTGGCTGACATGTCATCCAGTGGCTCCATGACTCTTGTATCCAGGTTAGTAGCTGTAAATACTGCATTGAACTTGGCATATTTATCCAGACTTCTCCATCTTTGCCCTCCCTGGTGACAGAGGAAACGTGTAGCTTGTGGGATAATGGAGACAAGGTAGCAACATACTACCCAGCCAAAGTGAGTTTCCTTGTTGCACTGTAGGCCAGAGCTACCTCTCTGGCTAGGGGCAGCAGCCTGCAAAGTGCTAAGTGTGCATCCACTGCAGCAGAACACAGGTCTTAATTTCTCTAGCACTGCCAGTTCTTGGGTTAGGTTTACTGGATTAAACTGTGTTCTTGCAGTGTCATTGCCTGGCAGATGAAGCAGAGTTGGAAGCGTCCTGGGCCAGAGATTGCAAAAGCTTCTTGTGGTCTTGTGTCTCAGCAATGCATCCTAGAAACAAGTCCTGGAGCCTGGGTTTTTCTTTACTTTTGGGAGTATCTTTCTCTGGGGAGGATTGCTCAGCCTGTGGTCATCTGAGCCCTGCCTCTGTGACTCCTGGCAGACCTTTGTGTGACCTTTTCTTGCCCATGCAACAACAGGACCCTGTCTTGCACCACGGCTGCCTCAGGCTTTGCTGTCTGCTCAACAGCTTGCTGCTTGCTATCATGTCATCGCTAACGGGAGACAAGCAAGGCTTCCTGTGAGCAAATGTTGAGCCTCAGGGTGCTGCAGGGCTCTGAGTGGGCATATGTGGTTGTGAAAGTCCTGCAGAGGTGATGTAAACTGGCCCAGCGGTGGCCTGGGTGGCCTCTGGGGCAGATAGGGGCAGCAGGGCTTGGACCAAATGCCTCTTGCAGCAAGGAGGGAGGTATGTTGGCCACTTCCCTGTGCAGGCTGTGTGCCGGACTGGCCTTGAAGCCTTTGCATTTGTATCCTGCCTTCAGTTTGCTGTGGGCAAAACCAGTTTTGTGCCAGAGAATGTTAATTGATACAATCCTTTGCCAATTAACAAACTTTTAATTATTGATTCTCATACTGAAAAGACAAAAAAAATATATATAAGGACTTAAGGAAAACAGCCCTTCTCCCCCCATCCTGGTTTACAATCCCTTTGCCACAGACTATGCTCAGTCCCTTTAGTGAGGCGAGGGGTGGCCTGTGAGATGGCATGGACAGTGTGTTGTGGTTTCTTTTAGTTTGCTGTTCTTTGTTCCTTAGTGATTGCTCTGGTGTGGCTTCTTGTACTGGCTGCAGTGGCATATATTTGAATATATATTTACTGCAAACTTTACTTTTCACTTCATCACAACCTTAAGAGATATGTTACAATTTCTACCCTTCCTTCCCAGTGTTGGGGCTTACTGTGGTAAGGTGTACATACAGTGGGTAAAACTTCAGCCCTCTTCCCTGCAACACACCAAAATCAAGAGGTTACAACAGCTAAATCGTATGCATTACGATCTCCACCCCACGTTCCCATGAACATGGGTTATAGGGTTTGTCATGTAAAAACCTTGCCCCAGCAAAACACAAACCTCACAGTGCTTACTTGGCGTGTGCATTCATTACAAACTCATCCCCTCATCGCTACAGGCTGGGTTACTGACCTTAGTGCCCATTGCTTGTTCCACATTGCGATGATGGTGCAAATTCCTGATACCAGGATCAAGGCTCCTTCCGGCTTCCCCCTTCCTCCCCGAGATACTTTTCACCTTTAGCCAACTGCCATCTGCTTCATCTTTCCTAGGAATTGCATCAAGTGCCTGGCCCAGCCTGCTGAGGCTCAGGAAAAAGTGCTCAAACCAGCTCTTGTCTGCAGTTTATTCCCCAATGTGCCTCCAACTATCTACTTCAGTACTCGGGATGAGACAGGTGAGCCAGGGTCTGTTGCCGTGCAGGGTGAGAGTGGCCAGCCCGTTATTAGGAAGCAGGCGGTGCCAGCACACAGCCGGGAGCTGGCTGGAGTAGCTGCCCTTCACCCCTCCCATGATGAGACCCAGCACTGCTCTGAGGTCCAGAGGACTGGAGTAAATTATGCTGCTTCCATAGCCTGGACCATGACTCAGGCTGCCACTAAATTCCAGTGTCCTGGGTCTCCCCCACCTATGGAGTCTTCTGCTCCGTGCTAGTTCTGCAACGGGGGCTACGCACCCTTCTCTTCAGGCCTAGTACCTGTGCAACAAATCATAAGAACCTTGCAGCTGTAGAAAATCCAACTATTGCGTTTGTTTTCCTTTGTTCCTTAACTTTTTGCCTTCCTAGTGGAAAAGCTGCCTTGGGAGCAGAGGAAGCTGCTGCGATGGAAAATGTGCGGAGTCACGCCGAACATTGTGAGGCAAACTGTTTGCAGATCCCACTTCAGAGTTAGCAAAAGTAAGCTGTGGGAGTCTACACTGCATCCTCCCTCACCTCCAGCCCATGGGCCTGAGAAGGCAGAATGGCTGGGAAAAGTAGAGCAGAAGCTATACAAGCTGGGCACTGCAAGATGCTGGGTTCCCATTTCTGCCTGTCTGGCCTGCAGTACCCAAGCTCTGTAGGTCCTGGCAGGGCCTGATCTCCTCTTGGCTTGTCCCTGGCATGGACCACAAGGACTTACACCTGAGCTGTCAGAAGCTGCCACGTGGAGCAGCTTTGCTCTGGCTTGCCACTCTAGGGAGGCTGGCCCTCATCTGGTGCCAGCCCCAGCACTACTGCACCTTGTCCCTGTGTACTGAAGAAGCCATCCTCTCTGAATACAGCCAGAGTTCTCAGGGTTGGGAATCTTGCAGTAGCCTGTACGAGTGCTCTGTGCTATAGCTGTGCAGCATCCCTGGCACGCTTCTGCCTGTGCTGCTGGGTTGAGAGGGTGTTGGTGGCAGCATACTTTGTCACGGACTTTTCTGTTTTTCCTACAGAAAGCAATGACTGGCTGGGTTGCTGGGGCCACCACATGAAATCTCCGAGCTTCAGAGCCATCAGGGAGCACCAAAAGGTAGGGGATGTTTTGGGCTGACCTCCTTCACATGCATGAAGAGTGTGTTGGAAACAATTTGGGTGCCCCTCGCCTCAGAGCCAGGTATTTGCTGTGCAGGCTGTCCCTGCAGTGTCCGTTCCAGAACTGAGAGAGGAGCCCAAGAGGCGGGCACAGCTTGGTGAGCTTCTCTGCTGTGGCTCTTGCACAGACTGAGGCTGTGGCCAAATTCAGTTGCTGCTGCTTAAAGCAGTCCCTCTTCTGGCAGAATTGAGGTGTGGGGGCAGTTCTCTTCCTGCCAGTGCAGTGTAGGGGATGTACCTAATTCTGACCACAAAACAATCAGGTGTGGCTCATGTCTTGGGGAGCCTGTGAGGTACCAAAGATTTGGTATCTATCACAAGTACATGTTTGCTCTGGAGAGCTGTGATGATCCAAACCATGTGGTTTGTCCCTGCAAAGCTTCAGGTGGAATCAATTTGGGTGCAATCCTGGGAGGGGAACAAAGAGTGTTACCCTGCACTGGATTCAGAAAGGACATATGCCATGGCCAGGGAGTAAAAAGGGGTGGGCAAGGATTTGGGGAAGGAGGGAGATTTCATAGCATCTCTGTTCCTTTCCAGCTAAACCATTTCCCCGGCTCATTTCAAATTGGGAGAAAAGACCGTCTTTGGCGCAACCTGTTGAAGATGCAGGCTCGCTGTGGGAAAAAGGAGTTTAACTTCTTCCCTCAGTCCTTCATCCTGCCACAGGACATCAAATTACTCAAGAAAGCGTGGGAGGAAGGAGCTAGCCGACAGAAATGGATTGTGAAACCAGTGAGTGTAAAGCAGAGCTCAACCTTTCATCCCATTGTAGCTGCAGTGAGAAGATCTGATTCCTTCTTGTTTGTGTTTTGCAGCCAGCATCAGCAAGAGGCATTGGTATCCAGGTCATCCACAAATGGAGCCAGCTCCCCAAAAGGAGACCACTGTTAGTACAGAGGTGAGTGAAGGAAAAAACAGGGTTGACACACACAGCCTGGGACCTTGTACTCTGGCCAGTTCTGGGCTGATGCCACTGTGTGGCAGAGCAGAAGCATCTGATTTTTTTCTCTGGAGACAGCCTTGGTGTCCTGCTGCTGGAAGTCTGGCTCTGTCAGCTGCAGCTATCAGAGTGCTGCTGTCTCTGCGTAGATATTTCATGTTTCGGATACAAACTGGCTTCATGAGCTTTCTGGAGCTTCTATCTGGCAGGTGAACAGCTTTGGCTCTGCTGTGATCTGGCTCCCACTGCTTTCTACTCTGTGGTTTGGTGTGTTTGGAGACAAACTTTATCCAGTTCTCACAAGCACAGTGAGAAGTCCCAGGGAAGAGGTGGCAGTTGTCAAAGATTTATTCTTATCCCAGTTAGAATGGTTCAGTAAGAACCTCAGTATGAATTAACAGAGTTGTCAATCTCCTTCTTGTTCTGCAGAAAAATGGAATATCTTGTCTTGGTTTGATGCTGCTTTCTGGGAAGATTCTTGAGGGCAGAAAAACTGTGCAGTTTTTGGCAGACAGGCTGTGTTTGCTTGTTTTTTCTCCCTGTCCACTTCCTATGCAAAGTGATAAACTTTCCTATGGGAGCTCATGAATTTCTGGGATGAATAATCAAATGATTTGGATTAAAATATCCAACTGTTTCTACTCACTGTACCAAACCATCTGTGCATGTCTTAGACGTTCCTGAATACTGTGATCAGTCTTGTGGGTGTGGAAAAACTACTGTGCTTTAGAGCTGGGAAAAATCTTTTCAAAATGGAACTGAACAGAAGGGAACATGGCTCCTGTGCTGTAGGAACTCCCCATGCATGGGAGAGCTGCTCTTTCTCTCATTTTGACCGTGATGTGATTAACTTGGAAATGCTGTGCAAAAGGGCTTCTACACTGATAACTTGTTTCACCAAGCCCTCTGAGTTGGGGGTTAGTGATGTTCCTGCACATGAAAATCATAACTTACTTGCCTCTGCAGGTATCTACACAAACCCTACCTCATTGGCGGGAAGAAGTTTGACCTGAGGATCTACGTTTACGTCACTTGCTACGATCCTCTCAGAGTCTACCTGTTCAAGGATGGATTGGTTCGCTTTGCCAGCTGCAAGTAGGTTGTGCAGGAGAGTGGTGCTGGGGCTGCCTCGGTGCCAAGGCATGTGTGGCTGTGGTACCTGCCTCAACTGGGGCAGGAGAGAGTCATCCCCTAGATAGTGATGCTCAAAGCTATATCTTGCTTGCTTAAGAAGCAGAATGGAAAAGCACAGGGTCACTGCAGGTGTTAAAAAGGGAATGTGAGAGGGGTGCTGCCTACATCCACCTTTCCCAATGCAAGGTCAGCTCAGTGTAAAGCAGTTCTTGAAACATGCTGTCTGTGCTTCATTCTGCATAAAAACTGACACACCAGAAACTGAGAATTTTTTTCCAGTTTTCACCATATTGCCTCAAGCTACTGCAGTTCCAGCAGTGCTTCTGCTCAGCGATGCTCTGGCCTTTTTTTAAGGACATGCTGTGAGGGTGGGATTACATTCCACTGCTTGTGCTGTGTCATGTTTTGTCCATGAGCTCTGGGCCTGTGGGGTCAGAGAACTCCAGGCAGCAGGGCTGGTGGGTGGCTGAGAGTGGTCTGAGATGGACCAGGGGGCAACTAGTTCAGTCTCAGACTGCTTGTGCTCCTATTGCCTCTTCCAGGTACTCCTCCTCAATGGAGAGCCTCAGCAACAAGTTCGTGCACTTAACCAACTACAGTGTGAACAAGAAGAACACAGAGTATAAGTCCAACTCGGATGAGACTGCTTGTCAGGGACACAAATGGTGGGTGCTGCTTTTAGGGCACTGGGCAACTCTTTATATTTCCCCTTGTCAGACTTTTTTCAGTATTCCTACCCAAAACTTGAACTTGCCTTCTGTATCATCTGTTCCCACTGGGGAAAATGAAAGAACAGAGTGATTTTAGCATGAGTTAGTTAGATTCAGTGGAATCTGAATGGTCTCCCTGCCTTGTGACTTATTCTCTGCTGCTTGGGCTGTGGTTGCTGTTCATCCTGCCTCTGTCTGTGCTGTTCCCTGCTTCCAATGCTGCAGTCATCTGTGTTCATTCATTTCTTTGCCCTATTGTGGGGGCATTGGGATGTGGTTAAAGCAGAATCTGATTGGTTTTGCTGTTAAAAATTGAATGAGTAATTGTGATGCTTAAATTGGCTAGATAGAAGCTTCTGCCCATCTCACTCTTGACTTCCCTGTGGAGCCAGAGAAGGAGACAGCCCTGGTGCAGAATATTAATTTATGTGCTACTTGGTGTGAATAGGAACAGTGGTGTAATTTCTAGGCCTTTGGGAGGAGGGCTGCAGTCTTGCAGGAGTTCCCATTCCCTGCTGTCCCATGGGTGAACGGGTGCAAGCCCTGGGCATTTGTCTCTAATTCCATGGTGGTGTTTGAACACTTTTAAAAATAGTGCAGGGTAGAGTTCTCAATTCGCAGCCCAGGCAGGGCTACTGCACTTTAAAGGGAGTTGCAGAAGGTGGTTTGCTCTGGTCAGATTGCTTTCTCAGATCTGGACTTGCTGCGCAGTGGTCTGTTTCTCCACTGGGAATTTTAACAGGGTTTGCTGCCTCCCAGCAGTTACGATCCCATGGGAGTGGGATTATGTGGGTTTGCTGTACTGCCATGCAAGTCAAAGCTGGCTGCTCTCATGTTAAAGATGAGTGTGGCTGTAATCCACTCCATCTTGTATGCAGGAAGCGTGACCTTTGGATTCCTGGCCATTAGCCACATGGTCTCACTTGAGAAATATCTGAGCATCCTTGGCTCAGTGTCAGGGTAGCTTGCAGCACTCGAAGTGGTGTGGGAAACTCCTATAAAAGCAGAGGTGCTCCTCCATACCATCATGTTCCCCAGTTTTTCAAAAATTCTTTTCAAAAATGTCAAAAAAGCCTCTGTGGAATGGTTTTAGCTAAAACATTTTCAGGATCTTGCTGGATTCCTGCTGAGCTGCTTTGCAGTGCTGCAGGGGAAGGCCTGCAGAAAGGGGAGGTTTGCTGAGGACATGGAGGGGGAGGGAAGAGAAGATTTGGGCCCAACTTATCTTGCTCATGTGCTAATTTGGTACCATGCTGGGACAAATTCATGTTCCTAGTAGCTTGGGACTACAAGACCAGGGGCCAGGCTTGGGGAGGGCAGCAGCTGAGGGGCTTGAGGATGACTGTGCCAGGGAGGAGCGTTTTCAGGGCTCCCCTCTGTTGCTTTCTCTCCCAGCAGCAAGGGGCTACAGAGCTACCTCCTTTGTTTTCTCTCTCCCAGGGCACTCAAAGCTCTCTGGAATTACCTGACCCAGAAGGGAGTGAATAGTGAGGCCATCTGGGAGAAGATTAAGGACATCGTTATCAAAACCATCATTGCGTGAGTCCTGGCACCCCTTGCTCTGTGCCTGGCTGTGTGGTGCACCCTGACCCCTCTGTCTCTCCAGTCCCCTCTCAGCCTGGTCCTTTGCTCTTAATTGAAATGGTATGACCACTGTTGGCTTCAGTATTTCTCTCTGGATTCTTCCTCTCATCCTGTTACTTATGCTCATGCTGCAGTGGGTAAATACACCTTATGTTTCCTGGGCCTGCCTGCAGGCCAGGAGAGTGCAGTATACCTGGTGCTGCCCAGCTTACTACCCACTCCCCTGCTTTGCCAGGGAGCCTGAACAAGAATGGTCCCTCGTGCAGGATAAATCGTGTGTTCAGCAGTCCATGCTGCCTGACAGAGTAGGGATGCTCAGAATGCAGTGCTGGATTCGTACGCAGTGCAGCAGTAGCAGCTCACAGGCCCGGGTCAGTCTCTCACCTGCCTGATCCTGCAGCATGTGGCTTCATTATGCTTCCAGAACCATCAGCATGTGCTGTGAACAGCCAGAGCTCTGCTGTCTGACTGTTGGAAGCAAGCATTTTTTCCTTGGCTTGCAGATCTGAGCCCTACGTGAACAGCCTTGTGAAGATGTACGTGCGCCGGCCATATTGCTGCCATGAGCTGTTTGGGTTTGATATCATGCTGGATGAAAACCTCAAGCCCTGGATCTTAGAGGTCAATATTTCCCCAAGGTAAAGCAGATTCTGAGCTGCAGCAGAGTGAATAGTGGCCTTCCCTTAAACACAAAATGAGTTTGGCTTGTGATGTCCCCTGTATCCTGTGCTAAAAGACTGTGGTCTTTGAAGCCTCCTTCTCCAGATTGCTGAAATGAAGGTTCTTCCTATCTGGAGAAGCAACATCCATCTGCAGCTCAGAAAGCTTTGTTGGGCATGCTCCAGCTAGAAACAGGGAAGAATATGTTAAAAAAGGAAGGCCAAGGAGGGATGTGTCATGTGCAGAATGGATGATAGCAGAGATTTCTTCTCTGCGTGGGCAAAAGTGATGAGCAGTTCCACTTCCTCGTGCACCCTTTCTTCCTTGCCGACAGCACCCAGCCAGGCAGTGTCAGCTGTGCAGACAGGACTGGGAACTGCAGTGTTACTGAGCATGGCCTTTCCTGCCCACAAGAGTGGGTGGGCATGAGCTGGACGCAGAGCCGTGGTCCTGCACAGGACTCTGGGGATGGATTTGCTTAAGAGATGGAAAAATGAACCATTTCTGATGGGGAACTCCCCTTTCAAAGAGCTGTTGTCAGGATTTTTCTCTCAGTGTCTCGTGGCTGGCTGTGATGAGGCAAGGGACAGGCTGGTGTTTGTATTCTGATTGGTAATAACCCAGGGATTGATCTCAGAGCCGTGGGGCTCAGCACCTCCTTTCTATCACTCAAACTGCTGTTACGCTTTGTCTCTGCAGCCTCCACTCCAACTCACCTCTGGATGTGAGCATCAAGGGCCAGATGATTCGGGACGTTCTCAACCTTGCCGGCTTTGTTCTGCCCAGCATGGACAGCGTGGCCTCAAGGCCAGAGACAAGAAGTAGCTCTACCTGCAGGTCAGCCCCCTTCTCTATCAGAGAGGCAGGCTTCTTAAGGAATTTCATCTGGGAGGCTACTTAGAGCCCAGCAAATGCTGGGCTGATGAGAGCCTATGCTTGCTGGTCCTTCAGATATGGGTCCAAGAACTTGCATCATTGCCTGGGTATCTGGTTTCTGTGGTCTCTTCAAGGCAGAAGGATTTATGCCCTCTGTGCAGGTCCATAGTTGGAAGTGAGGCCAATGTAATTTGTGCTTGCTCTGCAGTTAGTCAAGCTCTCTCATCCTTCCCCCTGCCAGAACTAATATGGCGCTGAGCCTCACAGCCTCTCAGTTTGCTTGAAACCTCTGTCTCCAGATTGCAGGAATGAAAGTCCTACATGTCTGCAAAAACAGCATTCATCTGCAGCTTAGAAAGCTTTGCTGGGGATGCTCGTTGGCTTTACTGGGGCTGGATCCACATACCCTCTGACTTACCAGAACTGATATGCCACTGCTTTGAGCAAGAGGAGCACCTCTTAATTTGCAAGGGCTGGATTGATTAGTTCCTTAGGCAGGACTGCTGCTGTCAGAGGCTGCAGACCAATGGGTAGGGATGTGCACAGTCTTAACCTTGCAGCTAACATGACTGATTCTTGCATAAGGTTAATTCCTGGGCATGTGTCCACTCAGGCCCCTGTTCCTCATCACAGCTAGGGCTTATCCTGGTTTCAAACCCAATGGCTGGGAGGAAACCAGTCTGTTCCTGCAGCAGAGCGGCTGCTGACCATATGTCACTGAAGGAGCAGCTTGCTGGGACGAGCACCAGCATGCAGTGATGTGTGGGCATGCCAAAAGATGGGGCTCTTGCCCTCTGTGTGCCCTGTGCCTTCAGTGAAGAGGGAAGCAGGAGCATGGGCCTGTTCCAGACAGGGAGCTCTCGCCAGCTCATCTGCGGTGCTTTGATCACACACTGCTTTGCGGCTTCCAGTGGAAGTGCTGAAGGGCAGGTGTCCTCGGAGGGACCTGCAGGGGATTAAGCGGATCCTTAACATGGTTCAGATGATGCATTACCAGAGTTCTTGCATCCAGGGGCAAGCTTGTTTAATAGTATCTCCTGCTATGGGAAGGATATGAAAGGTCTTTTTTCGTATGGGCCTAATTCCAGTAGATCTGTATGTTCCCTGAGCACCATGCAGCACAGCCTTGAGCCTCTGCTCCCCCTGTTTGAATCTGCACACAACTAATTACTTTTGCAGCAGCAGAACAAATAAAGCTATGTTGATAGCTCAGTTGAAAGATTTTCAAGAAGTATCTCCCGGACTCTGGCATTCCTGAGTGGTTTAGTTGGTGCTTAGAATATTTTAGATGGTTGCTGGTCAGGTAGTACAAAAGGCTGGGATTTCCCATGGCATGTGGAGCTGGAGCTGGATTCAGGTCTTGAGAGTTCTTGGATGCCAGAGAAAGTTTTTGACCTAAGAGTCCTCTTCTTCCCTGTACAGTACCAGTACTGAGTACTTGTACCCTCATCCCTGTGGTTGCAGCTAGGAAGCTGTGTTCCAAGTGGAATATAAACATGAGATCCCTCCAGACTTCATGTGCTGTGAATCATGTCACAGTGTGTCTTTGATCCTCTTGCATCCTATGTGAGTGTGAAGTTGTGGCTCACCTTTTGTATGAAGGAACCCTGAAATGCCTTAGCGAGGAGCTGGCAGAGTCCTCCCAGTTTCCCTGCCCACAGCCTTCCTGTGCTAATTCACAAGGCTATGGGTGCGTCACTGATCTAGTGAGGAACTAAAATCCTTGAAGAAAGTGTTCTCTCTCCTCCATGGCATCTTTCTGAGAGTGTCACTGCTCTCTCAGAAATTGCTGGGAGCAGGTCTGCCATAGCAGGGCTTTGTCTTGTTTGCTTAAATGCTTTACTACCTCTCTTGTGTCCTCAGTCTGGACAATACTTTGAAGGAGAAGTCCAAGCCAGTATCTGAGCATTTCAGAGCAGAAAAGATGAAGCAGGCCTATTACTTGATGCAGAAGATACCTGACCAGGTATGAAACAATCTCCTTTGATACTTGCACCATCCTTCCAAGCCCCTGTCCCCACCAATCACACAGGTCTATCCCTGGTCCCTCTTCATATTGTGTCCCTCTCTGAGGTCAGCCAAGTGGTGGGGCACACTTGGGCTCCAGTGGGTTACAAGATCACTGATCAGAAATAAATTGGGTTTGCCTAAGCCAAGGTCTCACTGACTCATCTTTACATAAAAATAAGTGTGTGCTGAGAGGCACATTGCCCACCAGTCCCCAAAACAGAACCTGAGCACTGCCTATTCCTCCTTATGTCTCTGTGCAGTTCTTATAGCCTTTGCCTGCTGACCCCATGCAACTTAGCAGGGCTGGTGGCCTTGTATGCCTCCTGGCAGTGTGGAGGAGAGATTGGGCTGCGGAAATGGGGATCTCTTCAGTTCTGTGCTGTGTTGATGTTATCACTGAGGCTAGAGTCCTTCAGTTTCCATGTGGCCTGTGTCCCAAAGACCTCAGACACATGGAGACCTCTGCTTGAGACATGCTTCTCCTTGACCCTGGCTTGCTCTTGTCTGCAGGATTTTTATTCTTCTGTCTTGGACATCCTGACCCCAGATGATGTTCGCATCCTGGTGGAGACAGAGGATGAGTATTCCCGGCGTGGGCAGTTCGAGAGGGTGTTCCCCAGCCACATCTCTATGCGGTACCTGCGCTTCTTTGAGCAGCCTCGTTACTTCAACATCCTGGTGACACAGTGGGAGCTCAAATACTACTTGAATAGACAGAAAGGTAACTGCTCTCCTAAAGCCTGGCACAGCCACCTGAGTCAGGCATGCTGCCTGCTGGCAGTCGTGGGAGGCTTCTGAGCTACGCATGTTCAGAGGGAGCTGCCTGCCTGCACACTAACCCGTAGGAAATGTGTTACCCTCCCAGACTGCCTCAAATATCACAAAAAGCTTATTCTGAGTTGAAAAGAGGTGATGACTGTTCTGGTAAATGCAGCAATAATGCTTCTAGGTGCCTTGGGGATGAAGAGGCTGGGATTAGCTACAGCAGCCTGTAGCTCTGGCATCTTTTGAGGGAGAAACAGCTGGAGTTCCCAGCTTTGCTCCTTACAGGTGATCTGGGAAGTGAAGGAAGAATTTGGCCTGTTCCCTGGTCTCCTGCAGCTTTCTGATTGATGAAGAACTGTCAGCATGCAGACAGAAAATCTTCCTAAGCGCTAGAAATCTAGCTAACATTTCCACCTTTCCAGGACACGGGTCTGTATTTTACTAAGAAACATCCTTTAATGAGGTTGAACTGGACTAATTCCTTCTCACCCAGGGCTATATCTGTCAGGGTAACAGTAGAGGCTATATGGGAGAGAGAATCAGTGAGGTCTAGCATAAAGGGTTAGAGGACAAAAAGAAAGAGACTGTGGCTCAAGGCTCTCCATTGAACATCTGATCTAGTTGGATAGACTTCTGCAGGAGCTGGCCCTCCACTGTGGGGGCCGTATGTGTGCTCCCAGCCTGGCTGTCATGCAAAGAAAAAAGAAAAATGCTTTTGTCCCTTTTCACTGGTGTTAAAGCAAATATCAAAGGGGTCAGTAACAGTCTTTCACAGGGAGATGGAAACCTCATAGCTCTCTCCAGCTGCGCTGTCAGCATGTGTCATCCTTTGCCTTGCTAATACCCTTGCTGGATGCTCTCCTGTCAGCTGGAAGAAAGATCCTGTCATCGTTCTCACTGAAGTGCTGCCCTGAACTTTGCCGCTTAGGCCAGGTCCTGGTTCAGTGCTCCAGCTTCCTCAAAGCAGCACAGTGAACGGATTGACCCACTCATTGCTGTTCACCTCTGAGCAGAACCCAACTTCCCCTGTTCCCTTCCTGTTCCCCTGTATTCCATGCAGCCTTCCTCTCACCCTAGCCAGCAAGGTGCAAAGCCTGGGCTGGTGCACA